CGGCCCGGGCAGGAGAGCCGCCCTTGTCCAGGGCGGCGGCGCAGGGGCGTGAAGTTCACCGCGCGTCGCGCATCGCGGGGCGCGATAATCCTCGCCTATCTACAAATTTGTACACGTAAGGCTCCGCGTGCGCCGTTTGGTTGGTTAAGTCCAGTGTGTTGGTTGGCTGGTGCGCCGGCTGGTAGGCAGGTTGGCTGGTTGAAGAGCCGTTTAAGGAGGCTGACGGAGGCCGGGACACCCGCGCGCGCGCGTGGGGAGTTCTGCATTGTCTACAATATAAAAACCGACATGTTATTCCCGAAACTAAATCTGATTTTTTCTGGAGCCCTTTAAGGAAGCCGACGGAGGCCGGGTCACCGGCGCCTGCGCGCGCTGGAGAATTATGCATTGTCCAGAATATAGAAGTCGACATGTTATTCCCGAAACTCAATCTGAATTTTTCTGGAGCCTTTTCAGGAGGCCGACGGAGGCTGGGTCACCGGCGCTCGTGCGCGCGGGATAGTTCTGCATTGTCCAGAATATACAAGTCGACATGTAAAGTGCCGCGTTTGAACATGTTGTTTGTTTTGTTCTGTTCTGGAGCCCTTTGAGGAGGCCGACGGAGGCCGGGTCACCCGCGCGCGCGCGTGGGGAGTTCTGCATTGTCTACAATATAAAAGTCTACATGTTATTCCCGCAACTAAATCTATTTTTTCTGGAGCCCCTGAAGGAGGCCGACGGAGGCCGGGTCACCGGCGTTCGCGCGCGCTGGAGAGTTCTGCATTGTCCAGAATTTAAAAGTCCACATGTTATTCCCAAAACTAAATCTAAATTTTTCTGGGGCCCTTTAAGGAGGCCAACGGAGGCCGGGTCACCGGCGCTCGCGCGCGCGGGATAATTCAGCATTTTCCAGAATATAGAAGTCGACATATAAGTGCCGCAACTGAAAATGAATTTGTCTGGGGCCTTTTGAGGAGGCCGACGGAGGCCGGGTCACGGCCGTTCTTCGGCCAATGCTCCTCCCGCTTGCGCGGCGGTTAAGTTCGCGCTTCTCCTGGCCGCGCGCTGCTTTGTATAAGCAGTACGTTTCTCATGTCCCGCACGTTAAGCTCCAAGCCCAACATGCGCGCGGATATTGCGGGGAAGCCGTCTGGCGCTCCAGAAAGCAACATCGCTTGCGGACCCGCGCGTTTGAGACGATGAAACCTTGCACTACGGGAAAGGGTGGGCGGTGGCGGAAGCTCCAGCGGCAGGGGGGCCCTTTCGCGGCGCGGAAGTGCGCGTCGGCATTCGACAATTCTCCTTGTGGCACCCGTGGGGCGCGGAGCCCGTTCGGGTGCGTTTCCGGGCTGGCCGCTGGGCAATATACCGCGATCCGTTTTCTTTGTTTCCATTTACAGATGATAATGTATATATATATATAGAAAGAGAGAGAGAGAGAGAGAGAGAGAGAGAGAGAGAAAGATGTTTGCGCTGCCGTCAATTATGTTAGCCGCGCCCTGGTCTAGCTTGTACCCGTCGCGACTCAAAAGTTTGGCTCGCTACGTGCACGACGCGCGTGCGTGTGTGTGCGCGCGTGTGTGTGTGTGTGTGTGTGTGTGTGTGTGTGTGTGTGTATGTGTGTGTGTGTGTGTGTCTGTGTGTGTGTGTGTGCGTGCGTGCGCGTGCGCGTGCGTGTTTGCTTCGATTTTGGCGCGCCCGCGCGCGCTTTGGTTGCGCAGCGCCGTCTTCAAAGTTGGACGGAAACAAATGTGATTGCGACGCTCTCAAGTGATGTCGCGACAGGTGTGCGCATCGCCGCGCAGCGGACGGTTTTCCCGTCGCTCGTAGCGTTTGCGCTTGCGCGGTGGACGCGCTCGCACGTTGAAGCTTGCGTCCCCTCAAGGCGCGCGCTGCCCTAGAGAAGCGGCTGCTTTCTCACTCGCGTACGCCGCGCGCCAAATCCAACATGTGCGCTGTTTGTTTCGGAAACCCTTTGGGCGTTGTACCAATGAGCATCGCCTGGGGTTCCCCGCGATTGAATCGATGACACATCGCCCCATGGCAAAACATGCCTGGCAAAAATCAATGCCTCGTGGAATTCTGAATATTGCAAAGCAGCCGATGGCAAAACAGGCCGTGCAAAAATCAGTGCTCAGCGGAATTTTGAAAATTTCAAGGCGCTTCGTCTGTCAAATTCGTTTTTTGTGTTTTCATTCCGCGGGCCAAGAAGTTAACAGCCATGGCCTGCGAATGGTCGCTGTAGGAGACCCCCTCA